CATGGCGAAATCCTGTCTCTACTAAAATTACAAAAATTAGCTGGGCATGATGGTGCACATCTGTGATCCCAGCTACTCAGGTGGCTGAGGCAGCAAGAGAATCGCTTGAACCCAGGAAGTAAAGGTTGGAGTGAGCCAAGATCATGTCACTGCTCTCCAGCCTGGGCAACAGAGCGAGGCTCTGTCTCAAAAAACAAAAAAAAAAAAAAGTTTTTTCCAGCATGTTTTGTGGGTCAACAGCACCGTATGTGTGTTGCTGACATTTTGCGTCATCTGGCCATTCTTAAAGCTAAGCATGGTTCTTCATATCATCTTATGCTTTAGAGAAAGTCATTCTTTTTTTTTTTTGAAACAGGGTCTCACTCTGTCACCCAAGCAGGAATGCAGTCGCAGGATCAATGCAGCCTTGACCTTCCAGGCTCAAGCGATTCTCCCACCTCATCCTCCTGAGTAGCTGGGGCCACAGATACATGCCACCATACCCAGCTAATATTTTGTAGAGATGAGGTTTCGCTGTGTTGCCCAGGCTGAGCTCAAGCGATCCTCCTGCCTTGACCTCCCAAAATGCTGGGATTTAGATGTGGGCTGCTGCACCTAGCTGAGAAAATCATTCTTTAAAAACCCTCCTCTTCAGCCTAGATGACTTGTTTGTAAAATCCTATGCGCTTACTCGTCAGCAAACATTTACTAAGCACATACGTGCCAGGCAGCACGTAAGGTATTAAAGAGGCACTGTGAACAAGCAGATGAGCTCTCTAATGTCTGGTTCCATAAGGGAAGATCTTTCTTCTTCTCCTCTTCAATCTCCATAGAAATGGAACCTATTAAGTCTAAGATAACAGACTGAACATATGGCTTCCTTTAACTTTTCCTGATGGCATCATTTAAGTTGGTTAAGATGATAGCCAAAATATTTTGTGTCCTACTAGTGACAAATAATGTGGTTTCATGGATAAAGCACTGGCTTCAATCTGGAGATCTAGTTGCTTACTTTTGCTGTCTTTTATTACTGAAAAGAATCAAATAAAAGACACCTCTTCAGAGACCTTGTGGTTTAGAGTTGGTAAATTAAATATAGTGGTGAATTGGAATTGGTTCTCTCTGCTCACTAGAGCTGATTGTTAAGTTTTCCTGAATTTTTTAAGTCTGTTGATGTCACGTTGGTAGGTTGAAACCGGCCATGATGGGAGTATTTACACCACAAAATAGGCAAATGTTACAACGTGGGGCTTTTACTTCCCAGAAAGCCAGTTGTTGAACATTTCCTTGCACATCACTAAGTAAAGGGGATGGTAATCACCCTAACGGTGGAGGGGAACTTTGGAAAGACATCGACATATTCATGATCAAAATGAAGGAAAAGAAGTAAATCAATACATGAGATTCCAGGCAAGAAGTGTCTAGAGGCTCATTTATTATATAGGGGTGATGTTCCTCTTTTATTCCTTCATAGAGCTGGTTGTCATGCCATTTTGACCCAGAACATTTCATTTTATTTATTTATTTTTAAGTAGAAACACAGCCCCTCACTGGGCTGGAGTGCAGTGGTGCCATCAGAGCTCTCCACAGCCTCAGTCTCCTGGATTCAAGAGACCTTCCCTCCTCAGCGTCCTAGCGGCTGGAATTACAGGCATGCACCAGACCTGGCTGGTAGACCCAGGTCATTTTCACGTAATCATGTGGACTTTGTATATGTTCTTTACTCTGCTAATGACATAGGCTGTTAGTAAACAAAACAAAAGACATTAGAAGAATAAAGAGTATTGCATTTAGAATTTCAGTACTCCATTGCTGGGCCAAAGAATATTGCTAGAGTTTCTGTGGAATTGCTTCTACTTTCCTTACTAAGAATTATGAAATCACTAGTATTGTAGCCATTTCGTAATAAAATGGGTAAAGATGCACTCATCATAATTTGTGATGAATCCAAACATGAGTTGATGAATTATATCTTGTTTGTAATTTTGGAAAGTGAAAAAACCTTGGTCTGAGAAAAGTGACACTATAGAAGAAAACCTGATGATAGCTGTCACTAACTATTCACAGTCACACTTGTTATGGACTAAAAAGTGACAAAAGCATCAATCTTACGAAATTCGGACATTCAAAATGCAACCCAGGAAATTTGGAACTTCATAGAAATAATGAAAACCGCCACGCCACTAGGGCAGGAACCTTAAACAGTAAAGTTTCATGAAGACAAAAATCTTTTTAATCAATCATCTCTTTTACAAAGTTTACAAGAAAAGCATTCATCCCTAAAAGCTATTTTCTATAAAAGTAAAATGAAATGGGCCCGGTGCAATAGCTCACGCCTGTAATCCCAGTTTGGCAATAAAAATACTTACCATTTATTGAAAATGTATGGCTGGGCATGGTGGCTCACACCTGTAATCCCAGCACTTTGGGAGGCCTAGGTGGGTGGATCATGAGGTCAGAAGTTTGAGACCAACCAGGCCAACACAGTGAAACCCTGTCTCTACTAAAAATACAAAAATTAGCTGGGCATGGTGGCGGGTGCCTGCAATCCCAGCTACTCAGGAGGTTGAGTAGAATTACTTGAACTCGGTAGATGGAGTTTGCAGTGAGCCAAGATCGCGCCACTACGCTCCAGCCTGGGTGACAGAGCTAGACTCTATCTCATAAAGTAATAATAATAATTAAAATTAAATGAATATCTATGTGAAAAAACAGACTCTCCACCTTCATATCATACACAAAAATTAATCTGAGATGGATCATAGATATGGATGAAAGCTAAAACGGACAGTGAGCCGAGACCGCACAATTGCACTCCAGCCTGGACAACAAGAGCAAAACTCCGTCTCAAAAAGAAGAAAAAGCTAAAACTATAAAGTTTTAAAAATAAAACATAGAATTCTCAATAGCTTTAAATTCTTATATTAGAAAGAAAGGTGCAAAATTAAAATAGAACCCAAAAAAGTTTTAAGCAATTTAACTGGACCATTTAAGAAAAAGAGCCAGTGAGTTAAGATGGTTTTCTGGAGTTTGCTCTGGAAAGTATGTTCTCCATGAAAATTATCAGTATTGGTGTCATTCTAATTTGAATATCTGTGTTTATTAAACATGAAGTTAAAATATTCTTTGAGGTTACAAAGACCAGATTAAAATAACAACTTAAAAAACATTTTTACAACAGTCTATAACTGTCCCATGATCAGAAAAACAGAATTAATTGCATTTCATTCAAGTCAGAAACTTAAAAAGAGTGAGGGGGGAAACAGCAAAACCTCCACTCACCTTAGCAGGGTGACAGAAGAGATCAAAATGTGGCTTTTGTCCATCCTCCTCATCCCTAAATTGAAGCATCTTCCCTCAGGTGGTCCACAGGTCTCCCTGTGCTGTATTCGTCTAAGAAACCCCATCAAAAGTGACAGCTGCAAGTACTGTTCTGGTTTGGTGAGCTTTCTCTTTATCAGTGTTGGCTTTAGTTGATTCTAAGATTTTTGAATTAAACATCTGGTTGGAGCCGGGCGCGGTGGCTCACGCCTGTAATCTCAACACTTTGGGAGGCTTAAGCAGGCGGATGACTAGGTCAGGAGTTCGAGACCAGCCTGACCAACATGGAGAAACCCCATCTCTACTAAAAATACAAAATTAGCCAGGTGTGGTGGCGCATGCCTGTAATCCCAGCTACTCGGGAGGCTGAGGCAGGAGAATTGCTTGAACCCAGGAGGTGGAGGTTGCGGTGAGCCAAGATCGTGCCATTACACTCCAGCCTGGGTGGGCAGCAATAGCAAAACTCCACCTCAAAAAAAGAAAAAAAAAATCTGATTGGATGATAGTAAGTATCTCAAAGTTCTACCCGCCTCTGAGAACTCACGGTCTCCTTCATTCTTCGGATGCCATCCTGGTCAAAACATATTTGATGAAATGGAATATAAATCTACCCAAACTGCTCAAGACTCTTCATTGCACATTCTCCCCCCACTCCTGCAGCACACACCCTGTGTCCCAATGTTCTCTCATATCTATTCACTCAAGCTGTCTGTTCCTCATAAATTGAGCTGTCATATGGGTTGGTAGGAGCCAAGGAGAAACTTCTCCTTCACTCTCTGAAGGTTGGATGAAAGACCAAATGACAAAAGGCATTTTGTTAAGAGGAGAAACGGCACATACCTTTATTAACACGCCCAGAGGAGCGCCACAGAGTGGTCACGCCCATCCCACCATGGGGCTCAGAAGCTTGTATGCCATCTTGAGGTTACAGAAAGAATGGGGGTTTGGATGGTGGCAAAACAGGTGATGGGAGGGGGAGAAGAGGAGGCCTGACTAGCAAAGATGGTCTCACCAGGCATAGAAACCTCCCACGTAGCAGCTCTCAGAGAGAATCGATGGGAAATGGTTCTTTCAGACCTTTGAAAGTGCCAGCCTCTCAGTTCATCTTTCCTACGTCGGACAAGAGAGGACCTCAGAGGAAGCCTGGCTGCATTAGTGTAGATTTTTCTCTACAGATGCAAATCTCCCCCCATGAAGACAGCTTTTTAGCTACTGCAGATTTTCAGCCCTTCTGACCAAGCACAGCTTTTAAATGGGATTAGTACTGGGCCTGGTGGTTTATGCCTGTAATCCCGGCACTTTGGGAAGCCAAGGCAGGAGGATGGCTTGAGGCAAGGAGTTTGAGACCAGCCTGGGCACAACACACGGAGGGAGACCTGGTCTCTACAAACCAAAAATAAATAGATTCGTTGAACGTGGTGGCACACATTGGTAGTCTCAGCTATTCTGGAGGCTGAGGTGGAGAATCACTTGAGCCCAGGAGGTCGAGGTGCAGTGAGCCATGACTGAGGAGGTACACTCCAGCCTGGGCAACAGAATGAGACCCTGCCTCAAAAACAATAATTAAAACGAATATTAAAACACTGTTGTTAAGTAAGGGAGCTGGGAATGCAGTTCTTTGCATATGACTTCTTTCTTTCCCACAAATTAGCCTCTCTTTTCAATGAAAAGTTTTCATGAACTTAAAACTTAAATTAAAAAAAAAAATGATTGTTGAGTGAGGGGAAACCCATGTTGAACAGTGATCCAAGACACTTTAAAAATTTCTTTTAATTCACACAGTTCAAATTGTCAAGTCTGACCTTGGAATAACATTTTTCTGTCCAACGTGTGAAATATTGGGTAATACAAACATAATTATGGAAATATTCAGAGACGTTCCCTGCACCCAGACACAGAGCCACCTCCACTTCCTTCTACCGCTCTTACAAAAACCAAAAGGCGTTGGAAGGAGAGATGACCCGTCTCCCCGGGAGCTGGTTAAGGAACCAGGCAAAAAAGTGAGATGCATTTCTCAGATTCGGACTTGACCTGACAGGTCCCCTAGGGTGAGTCACTTTTTCCTATTTCAGTCAATTTGGCTGTAAAATAATTGCAATAACGAGGTCTTGTTTACTGAGACTGAAGTCCGAGCTGCCTCGCCTCATTCAGCGGCTAAAAAGAAAAACAGAAGGTGGTGATTAGAAAGCTTCTGTAGCCAACCTCACGCAGCGTGGAGATGAGAATCCAGGGCTTGAGCACGTTAAGTGTCCCTTAAGTCAGACTTGCGAGTAGTGGAATCCAATATAATTGCTTCTGCTGCTTCTCTTGTGGGTTGGCACTTGCGGCCTAAAGTAAATAACATAGGATAAAATAGGAAGCTGGAGTGGGGGCAGGGGGAGAAGAGATTGGACGGATGTTGGTCAAAGGATACAGACTTTCAGTTAGGAAGGAGAAATCAGTTCAAGAGCTGTATTGTGCAATGTGGTGACTAGTTAATACCAATGTATTAAATATTTAAAAATTGCAGCTGGGCACAGTGGCTCATGTCTGTAATCCCAGCCCTTTGGGAGGCCGAGGCAGGTGGATCACTTAAGGTTAGGAGCTCGAGACCAGCCTGGCCAACATGGTAAAACCCCATATTTACCAAAAAATACAAAAATTAGCCAGGCATGCTGGTGCACATCTGTGCTTAGCTACTCGGGAGGCTGAGGCAGGAGAATCACTTGAACCCTGGAGGTGGAAGCTGCAGTGAGCTGAGACAGTGCCACTGCATTGCAGTCTGGGTAACAGGGTAAGACCCTGTCTCAATGAAAAAAAAAAAAGAAAAGAAAAGAAAATTTTCAAAGAGAGGAGATTTTAAGAAGTGCTCTCAGGACAAATAAAAAGCATGTGAGGTAATATATATGTTAATTATTGACAGCCATTCTGTAATATGTGTACCTGTATATTTCAAAACATCATGTTATATACCACAAATACATACAATTTTTGCTGGTCAATTAAGAAATAAAATAAAATCCTTCCTTCGAAATAGGAAGGTTATATTAGACTAAAGAAATTAAGAGGAGATGAACGGAGCGGGGGATGGGAAGGGAGGGGACGGAAGAGAAAAGCTGGGTCAGGGGAAGATGAGGAGGGAAGGGAGAGAAGGGAACAGGCCTGCCCTTAATGCTTCTCAAGCTCTCTATCTTGCCAAGATCTGGCCTGTGGCCCGGCACAGCAAAAGCTGGAAAAATGCCAGTGACTCAACCCAGTTCCATTGATCAGTGAACTAGAAATCGGGCACTGTGTGTTTCAACTCCAGTCGGCCAGCCCACAGCCAGGGGCCAGGTGGCAGCCTCGGCTCCTGGCCTCAGTGGCTGTCGGGAGAATGGGTTGGCCAGCCAGCCTCCATTGGTCTCACACAGCAGGCAGGCAGCGCAGCCTGGAGCCCAGCCAGGGGACGCAGGAGTGCTTTCAGCTTTTAAGGACAGACTTTGCTTTACCTCAGCCGTCGCTCTTGGGGCCACATGGAAAGCCACCATTAGGTTTACTATAAAGTGACAGAGGCTGGTGTCTCTGGGAGAATGAGGAATAGTCACTTCCTGCCTTTGTCCATTAGTGCCGACCAATGCAACCAGCTCCGTTTACATTCTTTCAGTGGTGTTATTGAAAGGGCTTGGCAGCTCCCAAATGTTTGCAGTGTCCTTAGTCCCATGAGGGCTGCCTTCTTCTTCTTTTTTTTCTTTTTTGCTAGCTTTTAGCTAGTGTCTGGAAAGATCTACTGGACGCGCTGGGCTCATTTTTTTCAAAAATCCACTTTACCCTTCAGGGAAGCCAGGAAAAGAACGAGCTTCCAACCGGTACAAGTCTGGAAGAACTTCACTGCCTCTCAAAGTACGGTACCCTTTTCGTTTCTTAGTCCAGCCTGTTACTGGGGTGGTTTTAGGATGCAGCTGCTGGGGTGACATCTGTGGGGAGGTGCGGGGAACCGCAGATGGAAAGAAGTTATCATTTTAAATTGTATTAAATTGCTGTCGGTATTGAATCAAGGTATCTGAGGTTATTGTTTGGGGAAGGAAACTATAGCTACTACAGAAAAATATTAAACCAGAACTTCTTTGGGAACCTTAAGAATTTTTTTTTTAATTTTTTTGAAACAGAGTCTTACTCTGTCACCCAGGCTGGAGTGCAGTGGTGTGATCATGGCTCACTGCAGCCTCGACCTCCTGGGCTCAAGTGATCCACCCTCCTGAGTAACTGGGACTCCAGGAGCACACCACCACGCCCACCTATTTTTTTTTTTTTAATTTTTTTGTAGAGACAAGGTCTTGCTATGTTGCCCAGACTGGCCTCAAACTCCTGGGTTTAAGTGATTCTCCCGCCTTGGCCTCCCAAAGTGCTGGTCATGAGCCACTGCACATACCAAGAACTTAATTTTTCTGGCCAAGAACTTTGTTTTTAAAAATAACAGTAAGCTATGTACTGTCTGCTGGAACTATTGGATGGCCCCCAGCATTTAATCCCATGGGACGTACCTGCTGCGGCACCTGGCGGTGTGTTCCTGTCACCTGCTCCCATCTCTCTCTCTTGGAGCAGCTCATGAAGGAGAGATGCCGCTGGCATCTTTTGAAATGTGATGGATTGTCCTGCCCTGAGCAGAGTCCAGATTGGATGGTGATTTGAGGACTGCTGGAGTTAAAGTGTGCACATGCAGTTTTCAGGCAGCTAATTAAAGTAATTAATTAGTACACTTCTGGAACCCAAACTGCTCCAATGCTATAGGCAAAATTCCCTGCCTGCTCTGGCTCATCAGAAAGAGTTTGTATATGGAAAGCTTCAGAACAGAACAAAGAAACTTAGGTCTGGATGAGGAATGAAGTCTTGGCTCTCGTTTAGCAATTCCTGAACTGCCAGGCGACATCAAATCCGCTGCCGAAAAAAACATCTGAAATAAAAAGAATTCCAGACATTAGGCATGGTTTAAAGCAGGGTACGCTTTTTTATTGTGTGCTTCTGGGTCTAAACGGGCCATGGTTTGCTCCCCAAGGTGACAGTGTGGCTCCCATTCCGCTCCTAGTTCTGAGTACAGCACTGTGATTTCTTTCTGGAGTTGTTCCAACCTGTGGACTTTGCTAATGAGTGATGAACCCCAGAACCTGAACTTCTGGTGTCAGCAGAATCACACACTCCCTTCTCAGGAGGTTTCTGGAACACTGGCCTTCATCCCAGCAGGATCACAAGTGGAAAGAAACACAGGGAAGACACCATCGAACCTTTAAAGTGGCCACACCACGGAGCAATGACACAAAGAGACGATGGTTCTGGAAGGAGGGGAGGGATGCGCTGTATCATTATTTTTTTCTAGATTGGATTCTGTGCACAGGTCATCACACTCACTGTGAGTGCAAGCGGGGGAGCAAATCGTGGGTCCAAAAAAAATCTCTCTGCAAAGATCCTTGCTCACTCACTTGGATGCACTTCTCAGCTATGGATTCATGCTTTTCCACTTGTTGAAACACCCCTAAACGTCGCCCTCAATGTCCTGTTTGTGTCGCTGGCTCTCCGCCACTCAGTAATAATGAAACAGCCTCAGTGAACCTGCAGCAGCAGCTGCCTTAGCTTTGGTGCCTCCCCACCCCTGCAGCTGAACCACTTTGAATATTCCTTGGTGGTGCAAGAGACAGTCTCACTCTTTCCTTCACTGGCCTTCCTCTGTGTCGGTCACGGTTGGCATGAGCTACATCCTGTGCATGTTATGGTGAGAAGGGGTGAATGAGGAAAGACAGGGTGGTTTTATACTTGCCCCTGGGACAGTCACTGGGTAAGGAAGGGTTTGGGGTGCACCCTCAGGCTCCCCTCAATGCATGAAGGCCTGGGACGGGTCAGCTGGCAGAGGTGTGTCTGTGTTTAACTTAGAACTGAATGTTGAAGACTTTGTGTCCCAAAGGGAAGAATTATGGGGATCTGATGCCCTAAGCAGGGGAAATTCCAAGCTCAAAAAGCCAGTTAGAATTCAGAACTGTGTTGTTATTCTGCCTCTCAGTTTTTCTCTATGTTCAACTCCTCTTTTTTAGATGATCATGAAGCTGTTTACATGTTGTCCTCTTCTGTGAACTCATCCCTGTAAACAGTGACAGGATTTTATCCAAATATTTCTGATTTCTAAAGAAAAAAAATGGAGCAATTTCTTCCCAGTGCCCTTCTGTTGACCTTGCGTGGGGGAGAGGCCAGCAGAGCTAAGGATGACCTCAGCCCCTTCCAGCATGATTTCCTGGGACATACAGAACCTCCTCCTTCGGATGTCTTTCTGTGATTAGCCACATTCAATCTATAAGCTTTCAGAGCAGATGATGGGGACATCTAATATTGGTTCCATGCACATTTCAGAGTGAGGTCAAACACATAAAATAATCATTATGCGTCCTGAAGTCCCAAGGACCTTCTCCGTCCGAGGCAGAGTTGGGAGGTGGGTTGGCGAGGTGGGGCAGTCTAGGAACTGCGCTGGTGGGGGCTGAAGGGAGATGTAAGGGCTTGGTGGGAAATAAATGGCACTGTGTTGTTGACGGAAAAAGATCTTGGCAGGACTGTTGTTGTGAGTGTTCTGTGGCTTAGAAAGGAATTTCCTACAGGCTGGACTAACCATTAAAAATGTCTCTACCTTCAGGAGTCCCCGGCGTGCAGTGGAGCCTCGCTGGGGGAAATGTCAGCTTGGACCATGGGCGCCCGCAGTCTGGACAAGCGAGGAAGTTTCTTTAAGGTAAAAGGAAGCCTTGATTAGGATCTCAAATCGTTGGCTTACTCCCTTAGCCTGGGAGCTGCAGCGCTCCTTGGAGCTGCTGAGGGAAGTCTGCTCTCTGAGCCAGCGCCGGCTAAGGGAGCTTGCCCGAGCCCAGCTGCTGACTGTCACCGGGGCGTACAACAGGTTGCGGGGTCTGTGATTTAGTGCTTTCACGCAGGTACAGGACTTGGGCGTGAGAGGGGCTGCGCTGTGCAAGACGGCGGAGGCTGTCTTTATTTGAGAGCTGCTCAGCTTGCCGTTTTTCAGCTGCAGGGTTTTATGGTGGACATTGGACTTTGCTTTCCAGTGAATAAATACTGTCGTCATGTGTTCTCTCCTAAAACAAAAACAAAACCAGATTCCTCAGCCTCACCTTACAATGATGAAATACTATTTTCTGGTATATTTTATCAAACATCCCCAAAGGCTTCTTATGATAACAAGGAAGCTTGATAACAACTGTCTAACTCTTCTGTGTTCATATTGATGTTGATGAGACTAAATTACTTTGCTAGCTTAATGAGATAAGATTTTAAATGGGTGTTTTATGTACTCTGTGTGTGTGTATTTAATGAAGACGTGGTGGTCGTTTCTAGTTGACACTTGGGAATCAGTTCCCCTCTTGTGGCTTTTCACTTTGTTTCCTTTCATCCACCCTCGAATTAAGGCATCCTCAGTATAGAAAATTTTGAAAATACAGAATTATGTTTAAAAAGGAAGAAAAGTGGAAGTAAAATATGCACTTGAAATCTGTCATAGGCAGGTGTTCCAACATCAGGTCTCATCCCCAGAGGAGGAACACGAGGAGGTTTTATTACTGAGCAGTGACTATGTTTTTATTTATTTATTTATTTATTTATTTATTTATTTTAAGATGGGATTTCACCATGATGGCCAGGCTGATCATGAACACCTGACCTCAGGTGATCCACCCACCTTGGCCTCCCAAAGTGCTAGGATTACAGGCGTGAGCCACCGCGCCCAGCCCGAGCAGTGACAATGTTTAACAATTAACCAACCTTCATAGGTTGTATGTATTAACACTTACTTACATGTGTCCTGTTACCAAGAGAACAAAACTTATTTATTGTGTCAACTGTTGACTTTACAAAGAAATCCATCAGAAGAACCTGTTGATAAAGCAAGGTTCATGAGATTTACTGAAATAAGGAAGAACATCACTAGGACACAGTCCTATTCATGTCTAAGCAAGGGGAGATTAAGAGGCAGATTTATAAGATTCAGGGATCTAGGCCCAAGTCCTTCAAGCTGCATTTTTCGAGAAACTGATTTGATTTCAGTGATGTCTGTGCCACCATAGCTTGGGATTGGTGGATACAGCACGACGAGGATATTGAAGTGGGCCTTGATAAATAAACCCTTGTTTGATAAGTGAGCTGTTTTCCCAGGTGAGCAAATTGTTTGCCAGGACAAATTATTGTGTAGACATTTCCTGCAGCAAACAGTGAAGTCATTTATTGGTTTACAGCCTTAATTTTCTGGGCAAGAAGATCCTGGAAGAAAGAGTTAAGTTATGTTGACACAGATGGTCTCAATGATCAATCCTAATAGTTAAAGCTTTGTGGACATAAGTAGTCTCGCTTCGCAAATGATTTATTCAGTTTTGATCAAACCTGTATAACCTTCACCCACAGGAGGCAGATGAGAGCAAGGAGCTCCTCAAGTCCCCTGTAGATCAAGAGCTGAGCCCACCAGGTGGCCCAGCTGTCATCCGGCAGGTTCCTGGGTTGCATCTGATGCCAAGATATTTATTTCCCCCTGGCAGAAAGGATGATTCAAAACCTCTCCTTAACCCAAAGCACTGTCTAGATCAACCTAAATATTGGCTAGTCCATAATTACCACCTTATGACGATCAGGAAACACAGTGGCCTTGTATCTTACATAGTAGTTAGATTTTAAAGTCAAGGCAAAAGAAGAAAATGGAGGCCAGGCAGGGTGGTTCACACCTGTAATCCCAGCACTTTGGGAGGCCAAGGCAGGAGGATCACTTGAGGTCAAGAGTTTGAAACCAGCCTGGCCAACATGACAAAACCCTGTCTCTACTAAAACTTCAAAACTTAGCCGAGCGTGGCCCCCTCAAGTAATCCCAGCTACTTGAGAGGCTCAGGCAGGAGAATTGTTTGAACCTAGGAAGCAAAGGTTGTAGTGAGCCAAGATCACGTCACTGCACTCCAACCTGGGCGACAGAACAAGACTCCATCTCGGGGGTGGGGGGGGGTTAAAAAAGAAGAAAATGGAGTACAGTCAAAGCTGCCTTTGAACATTTCTTAGGAAACTGTGCTTTGGGGCCCAGTGCACTACCTATCATCATGTCCATTGTACCCAGTTTTTCCTGCAGTTCTAAGAAAATCATGTTTGTTTTTATTTGAGTTTTCAGCGGGCCAGCAGGGAAAGTCATTGACTTGTATTTCTGGGCTATGCTATAGGAAAGAACCAATCAGGTGAGAGGTGGGAGGCCTGCCTGACCCCACAGAGGGTGAGACCTACCATGTAACCTTTCCTGGGTCAAATGCCCATGAAAATATTGGCAAAGATGCCTGCACTATTTCACTTATTTGTAACTTTGTGTTTGGGGCAGAGCTTAAATTGTTTAATTTATTTAAGTCAAATGCTCCATGTAAATGATATAGTTACTTTATACTTCTTTCTTTGAGCTCCTGGGCTCAAGCAATCCTCCCACCGTGGCCTCCCAAAGTGCTGGGATTACAGGCGTGAGCCACCACACCCAGTCTCCTTCCTCTTCCTTCTAGACATAGTTATTCTTCGCTGTGGCTGTTCCATAATTAGTCACCCGCATTCGTCATGTAGTTATCTATGAGGAGACGTGAACTGCCCTTTGGACATCCTGTACTGACTCTTTGCAGGTTTATTTGTAAGAAGCTGGAGGAGAGTTCAGTGCTGAAATGGGTGGTCACCCAGTGGGCACCTTCTGGGACCCACTAGCCCTGCTCTGACTCACCATGCTTTATTTCCGTTCTCACCTTTAAGCACCCATGAGCAGCCAAGCTCTGCAGTTGGCCAGAGACAGAAAAAGCAGAAGCCACTCCTAACCTCATGGAGCTTTTAGTCTGGTAGCAAAGAAAGATATTAATCAGGCTGACGCAGTGGCTCACACCTGTAATCCCAGCAATTTGGGAGGTCGAGGCGGGCTGATCACAAGGTCAGGAGTTCGAGACCAGCCTGGCCAATATGGTGAAACCTCATCTCTACTCAAAATACAAAATAATAATAATAATATAATTAGCAGGGTGTGGTGGTGAGCTCCTGTAGTCCCAGCTATTTGGGAGGTTGAGGCAGGAGAATCGCTTGAACCCAGGAGATGGAGGTTGCAGTGAGCTGAGATGGCACCACTGCCCTCAAAAAAAAAAAAAAGAAAGAAAGAAAGAAAAAGAAAGATGTTAATCAAATAATCACAGCACCAGACACATAATTATAAATCATTTTCTAAAAATGCTTCATGGGAGAAGTTAAAAGAGCTCTGAGAATGTATACTCTAATCTGGGGTTCCAGAGAAACCTTTCCCGAGGAAGTAGCCTTCGACTTGAGAGCTGAGGTTGACATTAGACCATTTAGGAAGGTGGCTGGGGCTAAGTTTTGGAGTGACTCTTGATGTGACTACAATCAACGCACGTCTCAGCAGACACCAGTGATGCCGTACAACTGGAGAGGATTCTTTCATAAAGCATGAGGTTTCTTGGTCACGTTCTTGGCTCACAGCTGAATTCCACATGAGCATTATCCCTCTCTAGGCTATTAGTGCTCATGTGACTTTGTGTAAAGCACAGATAATTGGAAGGCAATCACTGGACCTCTTTTTCATCATTATCTTTCCCATCCACTTTGTGTTTCTAAACCAGAGTTGCTAACCACTAGTAGCAAGCCTTGATTTGTGGTTTCCCATCTGTCCTGGCTCACGGACATGACTCACATAGGCCAGAGGACATGAGGTGTGTGGATAACACACAGATTGTCTGAGCATTTTGGGGTCACGGAGATGCCCCGTGGTTACTGTTCATGTGGAATCACATCCCGGAAGCTCCAGCCACATCCATCCTATGCAGATAAACCCACTTTCCAGTTGCTCACAGCACCATTGTTAATTTTCCACAACCATCTGGGAAAAGTAGTATCTTCCTTCTCCACAAAACATGTGGCAGGGCCAGGTGCTGTGCCTCACACCTGTAAATCCTAGCACATTGGGAGGCCGAGGCTGGCGGATCACTTAAGATCAGGAGTTTGAGACCAGCCTGGCCAACATGGTAAAATCCTGTCTCCACTAAAAATACAAAAATTAGCCAGGCTTGGTGATGGGTGCCTGTAATCCCAGCAACTCAGGAGGCTGAGACAGGAGAATCACTTGAACCTGGGAGGTGGAGGTTGCAGTGAGCTGAGATGGTGCCACTGTACTCCAGCCTGGGCAACAGAGCAATACTCCGTCTCAAACAACAACAACAAAAACATGGTGGGGGGCAAGGGGTAACACCCTAGACATGGTAGCCAAAGTTATCTGCTTCTAAGTAATAAATGCGAACACCTATTGCTCTCAGATTTCAAAAGTATATTGAACAAAAGAGTTTGCTTAAGAAAGATGTCATCTAGGCTAGGAAAGCTCTTGATAGTCTTGAATTAAGGGCAGAGATGCTCAAAGTTATCTTTGACCCCCCCCCTTTCCCTGAATGCCGTAGCTTCCCCCAAGCCGCACCCACACCTCCCACCATCCAGGCTCCCAATGCTGGCAAATCCTCCTCTTTAAAATTGAGTTTTTAAAATTTTTTAAACAACTTCTCTTTTTAAAAAAAATAGAAATGGGCTCTCTACGTTGGCCAGGCTGGTCTCCAATTCTTAGCTTCAAGCAATTCTCCTGCCTCAGCCTCCGAAATCCCTGGGATCACCCCTGGCCCAAATATTTCTCATGTCTCCAAAGTCCTTTCCCTTCTTTCCTGTCCTATATCTGCC